GATCGAAAGGGGTATAGTCACCTCAAACCTTTACAAGTGTCGGCTTTGTACAAAACAACCCACTCTGTGAATGGTTTGCCCAATTTCTCAATTGGCCTGGAATTGAAAATTTGCTTGATATGTCACTCCAAGAATAGGCCTTGAAACTATGGCCTCATGTATGATGTGTGGGACTCACCAATGTGGACGAAGGAGAAGAATCATGATGGGACCCCTTTCACCTCTACGAGTGGAAATTTAGCATTTTCTCTGGGAGTGGATTGGTTCAATCCTTGGGGGAACAAAGCTGCAGGGAAATCAGCTTCTTTAGGTGCAATTTTTCTTACCGGTTTGAACCTTCCTCTTTCACATAGATATCAAGAGGAAAACATCTACATTGCTGGCATCATCCCGGGCCCCAAAGAGCCCAATGTGGTCCAAGTTCAACATGTCTTACGTCCCGTGGTACAGGATCTCCTTCAGCTTTGGGATGGTGTGCATTTTTCTAGCACAGCGCGTGCTCCAAAAGAGGGATGTGTCATCAGAGGAATGGGCATTCAAATCATTTGTGATCTTGTAGGAGCCAGAAAGGTTATGGGATTAGCAGCCCACAGTACAACTAACAATCCATGTTCTTTATGTGATGTTACAAAAACTGAGCTTGAGATGCTTGACCTGTCAATCTTCTCCCGCAAGACCAACACCGGTATTAGAGAAGCTGCATTGGATTGGTATCAAGCAACAACTCTAGCAGACCGCAAACGTCTGTTTGACCAGAATGGGGTCCGCTACTCACCTTTACTGGAACTTCCTTACCTACTTCCAATTAGCCATGTGGTAGTTGAACCAATGCACAACATCTTTCTTGGAATCTTGAGGTATCACGGACAGGCCTTGATGGGGCTGAAAATTGACAAGAAAGCAATGGCAATTGATTATGATAATGATTCAGAATCTGAAGATGAAGACAAATTAGATATGAATGATATACAAGAGGAGTTGGATGCGGAACTGGAAGAGCTGAAGATCAGACCTGACATCGACTTGAATCTTGAAGATTACCACCACCATTTGAATCATACTGCCTCAAATGGTGGGACCCAGACCAAGAAAGGCTCTGACAACCACGAGCATTATGATAGTGACAAAGAAGACGACTTGGACTACTGTGCAACAGGACTCCAGCATGAAAAGGATGGTTCAAGCAGCTTGTCCTCCAAACAAATAGAAGATTTGCCTCTTCTGTTCACTGATAAACATACGTTCAAGTTGTTATTGACTGTCATTGGTGAAATAAATCTCCTGACTTGGATTGGACAAGTACCGAGGACAGTGGGCAAGCTTGTGGAGGAAAATTGAAGGCTGATGAGTGGGCTAATTTGTTTACAGTCATCTTGATCCCAGTTCTGGAGAAAGTCTACACTGAAGCAACCAATAACACTAAGACTTGTCTGCTTCACAACTTTTTCCATCTTGTCAGTGCAGCCAATTCGATTTGTAGCCCTGTAACGAATCAACAACATGTGAACTCTTTGAAGATGCATATTCAGTCATACCGAGCAAATCTGCACCAGCTTTTTCCTCAAATGCATTCAAGACCCAATCATCACATGGCTTTGCACATCCCAGAGGCAATGGCGCGCTTTGGACCCGCTTCAGTGTGGACAATGTGGGTACATGAACGTACAAATGGGGTCCTTTGCATGATACCCAACAATCATCAGATTTGTAAGCACTTTCTCAATGCAGAAACACATTACACAGCTACTAATTACATTTTATCTCAAATGTATTTTACAGGGGCTTTGGATCTCACACTACTAAGACGCTTTGTGACTTCCGCTAATCTGAATAGTCAACTCCCCAAATTTAGTGAAAAGCTTCCTGAACCTCTGAAAACTTCTATCTTTGATTTCTTGGGGCCTACAAATGCTAATGGCTCCCATCATGATTATTCCGATAACCCTAAGTGGCCACCGGCTAGTCAGAAACTTGTACACTTAGGTCAGCGGGTTTGTGCAAAGCTTATATCAAGACTACAGAAGGTTGAAAAACTCTCAATTCACATTGGGAACTCTGGTGTGCAAGCCAACAAAGTTGTTATACCACCTTTGGTGTTGCCAATGAATTCTTTCAAATATCAAGGAAGAGACTATTCAGTAAGCACTCATAGTGTAGGCAATGGTACTACCAAGTATTGTGTCTTACAAGCCAACAGTGCCTGTAGCAAAATCCTATGGCTCTATCCGTCAGATATTCACCATAGCATACGGAGAACGCTCTTCTCGGGTACGAGAAACATGGCTTGAAGTTCAACCGTTCAGAGAGCTGACAGATTTGGATAAACCTCCCAACCCCTACGCAGGATGGCCAAATGTCAAAACCAAATTAGCATATATGCACAAAGCTGGTGACACAGATTGTGCTTCAAGGGATTCTGCTAGCTGGCACATCATAAAATGCTCCAAAATAATTAGTCACAGCTCTCTCTATGTAGCACCTGGGGGGTCATTCAGTATACAACAGGCAACTGCCATCCTCACCGAACTTGCGAATCACACAAGGTACTCATACCCAAAAATTTGATCATAAAATCACTGCTCACAATCACAATTCAGTCTTTATTTGCTTTTGGAGGATACAGCATATCACTGGACTCTTGTAGAAGGGGTGTCTCCTTGGCTGTCATCAATCTCTAATATACCTAGCTCATTCTTGTAACAGATATAATGTGTGGTTGGAGCGTTGAGAATGGATGTTTCCAAAAATTCTTTTTCTGAAAGCTTGTTCTCATTTAGCAAATGACTTGTCTAACCCAAATCTTTTGTTTCAAAATGGCTACGCCTGCCTTGCTTGTCTCCATGCAATGGATGTTGTCATCTATGTTAGTTGAAGATAAGCTATGAATCATTTACTTAAATGGGAAGGTGATGAACACACCTCTGCGTGAGTGCTACTGATGTGTGCCCCTGTCTCATCGTGAACGCGTTTGACAACATCTCTGCATAAACTTCCCAGCTCCAGATTGTTCCTAGTGTCTTCTGATATGGTTTGAACGTGTTCTGAAAGGCTCCTCTGGAGTAGGTTACAGTCAATATCATGAATATTCTCCCTAGCCAAACCTGTCACAATCTACTTGTCAGAAACAATATGGAACATCAGCAACAAGTCCACATACATATATCAATGACAACCTTACCTGTGATTTCATTTTCCATACGTTCTCATTTGTTTGATCGAGTTTTTGTACTGGGGACTGGATTTATGACATGATATCCTTATGAGTATTGCAAAATTCTGGTTGTTTCACTGGATCCGTGAGGTCAGAGTTGCACCAAGCAGTTGATTTTTCCATTTCCTGGCGGTCACAAACAATACATCATGATGATCATTTTTGATCCTTTTTGCAAAATCTTGTAAGTTGCCAAGATACCCAAAGACTCAAGGATAGTCGTACACACTTTTTCAGCCCTGAGCCCTAATTACAGGACCATGGGCTAACAGTACCATATGTAATACCAAAATATTGTATAAAGCCATAAGCTACATCTCAAGGCTCAGTGTCAAGAGCCACTTAAACACATGTATGTAATGTATTAAATACATAGTAAACCTAACCCAAGTGTCAACCACAAATTGACACGTGAATAGACAAGACTCACACGCCAGCCACAAGTTGACGCCGGAACTGAGACTATATAAACCCCCCCTTCTTCCCTAGAATCACCCCCCATCTTTTACTACAATCACAACACAGAACCACATTTTACTTGACTCCTACTGAGAGGATCTTCAAGTACGTGGTTAGTTGTGTAGCTTGTTAAAGACCATTCTTGAGCATTACGGGTTCCATTGCTGAACACCCAAGGTACTGATTTCTACGAGCCCAGGGCATTCATTGTCTCTAGAAATAAACCTTAAAGTAGCAAAGCTTCCTCCTCTTTAAGGAGTCTAAAGTAGCCTTCAGGATCTTTGGTTTACCAAAGTGTAAAGCCTGCCCCTCACAGTCTCACGAGGTTAGAGCACATTAGCTCTTTATTGCCCTTATCTTTCCTTTCCCTTTCTCAAATCCTCTTCTTAGAGGTCAACTAGCTGTAGTCTTCACTTGGGTGTACCACATGAAGACCACACCTACCTTTCCCTACTCTATTTTCTGTGAAGAGTACGCCTAACAGACGCGTACTCCTCACACACTTGAGTTCCACCTCAAGAACCATACAGCTTCAAAAGACATTGCCCTCATATATACAGCACTCTATTGTGTTTTGAGCTCAAAATATATACTAGGTATGATGTCAGCCCTGAGTACTGAACCATAGTACCATAGGCTGACAAATAACAATAAGAAAACATTAAAAAACAATAATTACAACTCAGACTCAGTTTCAAGAGTCAAATTACATATGAATTAACATATGTAACACATGTAAAACTTATGTAAAGACTGTGTGAGTACACGACTTTACATTTCCTAAAAGATTACATACATTACACACATGTAACAGGTATGTAACCAAGTAGATAGCTCAATACTAATATGTAGTATAAACCTAACCGTTGGAACCACAAATTGTGCGCATAGGATTTTCAAACTTCAGACTATAAAAACCTTGAATATGCGAAATTCAGAATCATCATCACATTACATCTTTAACACTTTTATTATACAATAAAACTTCATCACCAACTAGATTATAAGCTTTCAGTAAAGTGAAACTTTACTATCTTATTTGTGATTGTTATTTTGTCTTGTGGTTCTTATTTCCCCAATTTACTGTGACTGGTCTTAGTCACAGTTTTGTAATAGTTGTTGATTACCATTTGTGGAATCAAACTATAAAGGAGGTAGTCCTTAAGTGCTGCTTGATCTGATTTGGGATTTAATCAGATCAAGAAACTTTAAACCTGCGTAGTACCTCTATTAGTCAGAGTTTAAAGTACCAAAACACTATAAAAGAAATTAGTGTTCTTAATCAATTTATTTCTAGCAGAAAGATAATTGATTAAGTGTAAGTCACTGAAGATTCAGCGCACGGTTTCTACTATTGATACTAGTAAAAACCTCACCCAAATCCCTGAAAAGCATTTCTTTAAAGGTCCTCTAACTGCAGTCTATACTTGTTTGTTACAAGTATAGAGCTTGAACCTTATTTATCCGCCCTTAAACCTTGTAGATCATAATCCCTACAAGTTTATACATTTTTCCTTAGTGATTTACTAGCCTAAAAGAAGCTAGTAGCTCACATTTGGGGGCCTCATCCGGGTTTTAGAACCTTTTACTATTTTTTTTGAGTGTGTTATCAACTCAAAAGTTATCCAGAAAAACTTAAAATACAAAAACATATTTTTTTATAAATTTTAAATTTTTTTATTCAACCTTTTCTTGTAAAAACTGAGAGCAGCTCAGCAATTTTACTTTTTAGGATAATAGCTTGGAGGAAAGAAAGAATTCTTTTCCCCCTCTGATTTTCGGATTTTTTTTATTTTTTTTATTTTTTTGCAAGTCAGGATCAATAGTTGATCCATACAATTCATTGTTGAATTGTATCTATAACACCTTAATTGTGTAGTGTAATTAGCCAAATTTGTGGCTTACATATAATTACATATACACATATTATCAGTACAGCCAAGTGACTGTACACACGTGGTGAATAACCAGAGCCCCGCGCGTGGTCCGACAGCCACAGCGGTCCACTAATTGAATTTCGAAGTTTCTTTCGATTTTCAATTTTCGTAGTACCCCCTCGACCACGAACCCTCCCACCTCCACCTTGCAGTTGAGTTTGTTGTCGGTGTTGATTGTACCACATGTTGTGTGCTTCACGCTACGAACGCAGGTGCATTTGTCCCACGACAACTCAATCGAAGGATTGAGCCACCGGAACTTCGACCGAGTAGTGAATAAACTACGAAGAAGAACAGCAATCGTCAACGAGATCTAGCTCATTTGGAATCGTAACAAACTCACCAAAAATTACTTATTAAGAGTAATACATCTGTTATTCCCTGATCATTGTCTTTCTGTTATCCATTACTTCCTTCTTTTATTTTTGAATTAGTGTCGATTCAATCGAAGAATTTTCGATTTTATACACAAGATAGACAGACGACCAATAGAGTAAGCCTCTTCTAGTTTTGAACATCTTAAGTATAAGTTAGCCAAATAACTAACTGTACAATCTTCATATTCATCTTTTCAATTGCTTGATTCTAAGATAATAGATACTCATAGATCGACAATCGTTCCAGATTTGACTTTCTCGTTAGTTTTGAATCCTATTCATAGCAATTTGCGATCTGAAAAGGTATCAAGATATACTTTAGATCAAAGTTCTTTCTTGATCAATCTAAACTCGAATTGAGTCGAGTTCTTTCAACGACTATCAAGTAACAGTCAGTATTAATATTTTGATTCTTGATCTAAGATTAGAATACATAATAGATAAATATTTAGCTGATTCTTGTAGAACTGTTATCAGGTCAAGATCACATAGAGTGTAGTCATCAGCTTCCTATAGTACTAGACCAAATCGATTGGGCTAATAATAGCTACAATAGTAAGTAGTTAAACTCTCCTTACCTTACTTAAAGAAGAATAGTCGACTGATCTTGTCTCTATTATTATTATCTTTTGCTCATTTTTTTTTCTGGTTCTTTTTAATCATCGTGTCCGATAGAACTAGCCTACGATATAATACCATACTTTCCAAAATTTATAGATAATAGTAAGTCAGTTTTTTCTCACTGATAGTAATCTATTTTGAAAACATAAATAAAGAACTAAAGTTTTATTTATCATTTTTTTTGGTTCTCCCATATTACCAATATTCTGGCAGTAGTGAATTTAGAAAATTTAGATAGTGTCCTACCTTCTTTAACTCAAGAAGATTCAGAAGACAAACTTAACCAACACAAACAAGAGTTATCAGTTGCAACCGACTTCAGACTGTTTTCAGTTATCAACACTCCAAAACCGCCCGACAGTCCTAGTCCTTCAGAGGGACTAACGACACCAGACAGATTCCAGTCTTCAATACCAGAAGAAGGTGTTCAAGGTCTGGTTCGAAAACAAACAGGTGATTTTGTATTTTGGGTACGAAAATCTAATTCCAAAGAAAGTAAGTGAGAATACACTTCTAGTTTTTGTCATTTCTTGTGTCTTTACTACTTTAGTAAAAGAAAACTTACATCAAGTTTTTTTCTTCACTGTTTGTCTATCTGATGTCCGATTACATCCCACCCCCTCTGCCTCCTCGCAGCCGAACAAACCCAGACCGATATGGAAACTGGGAGTCAGGCTCCAGCGGATCGAAACAGCAACAGGATGGAGGAGGAAGAGGGAGGCGACCAGCGACCTCAATCTCAGCTCAGAGAAAAGGAACCGAACCGCAGGGAGCAGTCAGAACCCACTCCAGTAAGTCAGCAGCAAATTCTCTGTCAATCAATACTGATAAAGTGAATACTGACTTACCCTTATTATCAGGAGCAGTTTGCCAGGACCGAAGCCTGGCACCTGAAGTGGCAGGAGCTCCGACTGAACTACAACAAGTGGGAGAATGCTTGACTAGTCCTGAACAACGAAA